ACATGTCGGAGTTAAGAAGACATTGAGTCACCTACTGCAGAGATTTTACTGGATAGGTTTGAGGCAAGATGTGGAAAAATGGTGCAGGACCTGCAGTACATGTTGTGCAAAAAGAGAGCACCCAAGCATAATGGGCATGCTCCAATGAAGTTATGTCAAGTTGGTTCACCAATGGAAAGAGTAGCCATTGACATTGCTGGTCCATTGCCCCGAACTCATGCTGGAAACAAGTACATTTGTGTGGTGATGGATTATTTCACCAAGTGGCGTGAGGCATATGCAATACCAAATCAGGAAGCTACAACTGTAGCTTTGGCCATTAGTGATTTCTTCTTTGGGTTTTGTATACCATACGAACTGCATTCAGATCAAGGCCGTAACTATGAATCAGCTGTGTTCCAAGAATGCTACAAGTTATTTAGCATACGAAAGACCAGGACAATGCAACTTCACCCACAGTCTGATGGGATGGTAGAAAAGTACAATTGGACACTGGGACTGGAATTGGCAAAGTTTTGCAATAGCCCCCAAGATGACTGGGATGTCTTACTCCCTCCACTGCTGATGGCCTATAGAACAGCAGAGCATGAAGCCACTGGATACACTCCAGCAAAGCTGATATTTGGTCGGAACTTCGTTTGCCAGTGGACCTGATAACAGGATGCCCACCTTACGAAGAGTTGTCTGAAAATGTGCCAGATTTCGTGAAAGTGTTATCTGAAAGGATGGATGATATTCATCATCAAGTGCATTCAAACTTAAAAACGTCTGCTCATGCTATGAAGCTATGTTATGATAAGAGATCTACTGAAGTCAGCTTTGTACCAAGAGACAAGGTGTGGTTGTATAATCCCAAGAAGACCAAAGGGAAGTATTCTTCATGGGAAGGCCCATATGACATAGTGGATCATCTCTCAGACGTGACTTTCCGAATAAATTGTGGTCAGTGAGATAAGCCAAAGGTAGTGCATGCCAACAGGCTTTGGCATTATTACAGTCCAGGATATTTCAGTTGGAATGAAGCGAACAACAGAACAAATGATGCTGCTGAAGAGTTGTCACCTCAAAAAGCCACTGTTGAAGAAGAAACTCTACCCAGTTTTGAGGAGGGAAACTGTGAAGCCCTTAATGAGGTTACTACCACTGATGTGACTGCTACTAATAATGGGACATTTCCTAGTGAAGCAGATGAATCCCCACGTAAAACAGAAGCCAATAAGACAGATACCAGTACGGAAGAAGATACGTCCTGTAAAATTAAGAGACTTCGTTGTATTTTAATTTTGTGTTTGTAAATTCTGTACATTTAATTGTTATCGTTAATTATTTATTCGTTTAATGAAAGTGGCTTTTGTTCAGGACGACCAATACTAAGGAAAGGGCAGTGTTACGACAGCGGAAGTCGCGTGACACTGCTAGAGCATGCGTGAATGAGTTTCTCGAATTATCAGGGAACTCCACGAATTTTGGCGAAGCCTCTTTGTTAGCATATAAGGTTGGTGAGAAAAGACAGCGGATACGATGATGAGTGTATAGTTAAGCAAACAGTAGTTACGGTTTTTTGAATAATAAAGTGTGTGTTTTGTACTCGTCGAGAGCGAAGTTATCGAGATTGTGAATCCCTGTGATTTATAGTGTGTATTATAAAAGTGTTAAGTTGAAAGTGACGAGAAACGTACTAACTGTGGAATTACTGTGTACTAAAGTTTTTATCGAGGAAGAATAAACTGGTTTAATAAAGAAAGGCCTTGTATTGCTTAAGTTCCTCGGAAAGAATTTCTACCGGAAATTAACAAACAAGCAGATACGCAACATTACCACCTCGAAACAGAAAACATTCTGTTAAACATACAGAATACCTCTATACGTAAACGACAAACAGCTTACCACCTAGTAACTCTAACTGAGTCAATCTAGCAAGCTTTTAACCGGAAACAAGTAGTAGTAGGAGGAGTATTTTTAGATGTCAAGCGTACCTTTGATTCCATTTGGCATAACGCCCTATTATAAAAGTTATCTAAAATAAAGTTGCCATTAATCTTTATCTGTTGGATATTCAACTTCTTAGCAAATAAAGTTGCTAAAGTTAAAAGAAATAATGAAGTTTCAAACCCGTTCGAATTACGAGCGGGTGTCCCACATACATCAGTCATTAGTCTGTTACTTTACATTTTATTTGTGAATGATATACCATTTCCCGAATTGTATGGCACACACGCGTCAAAGCACACTGATGACGTCGCGGTTTGGAGCACGTCAAATAACCCGTTGGCTGCTGCATGTAAGGTTCAGACTTCCTTAAATATAACCATAGACTGGTGTGATAACCCCCAAAAACTCAGGCTATAATATTTACAGGGGTTTCAAACGTAAAAGGAAAAATGATATCTCACGTTCAATTAAAACTCTATGATACCCAAATCATTTTAATAAAAAGCGTTTAATTTTTAGTTATTACCTTTAACTCAAATTTAACATGGAATATACACACAAAAGACATCTGTACTAGAATGAGTCCGAGGCTTTGTTATCTCAGGAAAATCGGGGGATTTCAAAAAGGATGCAACTCAGACACCATTATACATATATACAAAATATACGCTAACACGTAGTTAACACCTGCACCATTGTACATATATACAAAATGTACATCAGACTTGTTGCTGAATACGGCAGCATGGTTTTATGTAATGTCAGAAAATCTATTAAAAATTACAGATACAACAAAATGCTGCCTTACGAATAGCCTACAGATTATATATATATATATATATATATTCCCCTCACTTATCTTAAAACTGTCAATAGCATTCTAGCTATTAAAGATAGAATACGTAAGTTAGCAACAGCCGTTTACAAAAACACTAAACAATTCACAAACCTGTCCAGTACTCCCGAAACATGGCCCACCCACATGTTTGCTTTAACCTAATTAACTCCGTTTAATGTTTACGTGTACTACCTGTAATAACCAATTTGTATTTTAGTTTCAGCTCAGGCACTACTTGGATAGTTTTGGAGTCCAAATAGTGAAAGTGGGTTTTTTCGGGGTACTTCCATTTTCCTCCCGCATCTAAATTATGGGTATATGTGTGTATACGTTGTAACGAATTTATTGTTATGTATTGATTTTTTATATGAACGTTGTTTATATTGAATTTGTATTTAAAAATATGCGTAATTTATAGTGTCAGATATGTATTGCGTGTAACGAATTTGTTATATATATTTATTTTAATGACAATGTTTGTTGGGATTGAGCTTATATGTAAAAACGTGTCTAGATTACAGTGTTAGTTACATATGGCAAAACTCTCGCCAATTCTCCAAGGTTGTAGAATATTCATGAACGCAAGAATCGACAATATATCCACTTCCGTAACCGGTTAAATGTAGCTCAGTATTGTTGAGAAAATCTTTCCATTGCCTATAAAAGGCAATGTGCCAAAAACAAAAAAATAGCATATAAGTCTGATAGGAACCCGTTATGACCGTGTACGCTATAAACCGTGACTTTGCTAACCCTTATCAACTGGAAAATATACGACATTTGACCAGGAACAGTTATAAATTTCGAATGTCAGTGGATTCTCATCGGATGTTAGTATCTTTCCGAAAGTATTACTGAATTCTCATCGAACATTAGTGGTTTTATGAAAATATTATCTTTCTTCGACGGTCCAACAATTCAGTGTCTGATAAAGCTAGCTAGCTTCTCAGCAATTGTACATATATCGAATTCAAGTTAACTCGCTAGATATCAAGGAGACTCTGAACTAGAAAGAAGATTCTATGTTGTTTGTAAGTTAGTGAAATTGTTGTTTCTAAAACTTTGTTTGTGGTAATTATTCGTAATAATTGTTGTTGTAAATTGTACTGTTGTATATATATATATTAAAATGTATTTGTGTGAAAAACGAAAATGGTTTGTGTCAATCTTATTGGCAAATAGCGTAAATGAAATAAAATATCGGCTTGACGCAGTGGCTGAATAAGAAGAGAGCAAGTGTGCCATTGGTAGTTCCCATGATATGGTGTGAGCCCAAAGATCATCTAACTGACTGTTATTTTTGGCTGAGTAATGTTTCTGGATATTCAGGCAAAACTAAACAATACATCAATTATCCAGATATTACATCTGTATTGAAACCAGTATCTCTTGAGAATGGTCTTCCAGTGCCACATCCAACAGTGACTTGGGAAACAGAAGAGTTATTCTGCGAAGAAGACAGAGAATAATCTTCATCCTCTTCATCTAGTAATTCTATTCTTGTGGTACCTTAACATAAACTAACTCATCTGATCACACAAGAAGAGTTAAATGATCTGATTCATGACTTGTCTCTATCAAAGCAGCATGGGGTACTTTTGGCTCTTGTTTACAGCAATGGAATATATAATAATGAAGTATAAAATCTTATTATCAGCAATGCTTTTTTAAACTGGAATTGCTTTTATGTACTGTCTTGAACATTCTTAAATGCAATTTTGATTGAACAAATAAATATATTAAAGACAAAGTTATTTTCACGATAGATAAGGATATTTTGATAAAATCTATCCTAACTCTAAAACAACAGTAATTTTCAACATGATTTTTGTAATCAGCATTAGCAAGTTACTCAGAAACAGGTGCATGTTTTTTAGTAGCAGAAAAGTTTGTTGTTGTTATTACCCGGTGTAACCAGTGGATTTCCTCAAACATTTTTTATCAAATTGATTTTTTCAGCATATCTTAGACACCACACTACAACAGAAAAACTTGATTTACATTTGAGAACTCAAGTATACTCTAATTCTGAAATATTAAATAGGTTTTATTAGACAAGTTTTGTTCATAAATATCCGAATTTAGTGAATAAATACACACAATTGTTTGTCAGAACTGCTATCGATTACAAGCATTTTAGTATTGATCAAACTTCTCTAAAGTGACTTTTATGCAGTTAAGAAACGTTGATTTATTTCATATCTTCAGAATTTTACTTTGTTAGACTTACTTTCCATCGCTGATTGTGTAAGCTCCTGGCCACAAGTTAGATCTTAAAACCGCGACAGCAGAGGTTGGCAGCAAGCGAGAACTTAGGTATGGCGTCCATGGAGGAGTTCTGTCCAGCGCTAGAAAATTACACAATCATTTCACATCTTTAACGGATAAAAAGCTGATCTAATACATAGATCTCTGCTGATTTCAGGAGATTCGAAAACCGTATTCTAAAAATGGTCATTAAATTGTAACATACTAATTCTTGCACACTTAACTTTCAAATTTATTAATATAAATAAATGTAGAGGAAATTAAAAAGACGATTTTTAACGTTAAATTTCCTGATTGTAATCTAGAAGTATGGTTATTCCTAAGACGTTGGAGATATAATTTTGATTTACCAACGTCCTCAGACAGTGGTGTAAGCAGAGGTGGCCCGATTTCGCGTTCAGATGAATCTGATTCTTCCAATTCTTCAGATTCTTCACCTTCAGATTCTTCAGAATTTTTACCATCTCTTTTCTCAGACATGTACCTCGTACACCGACCCTTTTTAAAACACAGGAAATAAAACTTATTAACAGATCAAATAAACTGATAAGTACATCAAAACTGTTCTCTTCACTCCATTTTAAGGAATTTTTTGTACTATGCACACAGATATATGTACTTAGGGAAGACATGTAAGGAACATACAAATAACGCTTCACTGATAAAACTCAAAGATGAAAAACATCTGTTTTAAAACATTAAAATTAACCATGAATAAAGGATAAGTGTTTTACAACAGCCCATAAATTAGTTTAAGTTGAAAATAATACAGAAACTAGTTAAGCTACACAACTTAGTACTTAAAAAATACTCATTAAATCAGGCAAGTTAGTCTTAATGCAAATTTTTGTATAAGTTTGGCAACTCAGTATTAATACAACAAAATCACCAAGTTAGGCATCTCTGTACTAACACAAGAAGTTACTCTGTTAGACAATTAAGTGCAGTTGTAAAAACTAACGAAGTTAAGTTACCCAGTACTACTGTAAGAAAACCCCAAAATAGGTAACTCAGTACTAATGCAATAAATCATTGTCAGAATATAAAAATATGTTCTTCGCCAATTGTCAAAACTTAAAGACTTTTAGTTATGTTTTTTAATAGTATAAATATATACTATGTTGTTGGGCTTAGGATTCTTCTATGGTAGGTGTCTGCGACTTGTTAGCGATAAATTCAACGATGAATAAACAGCACGCACTTTACTTGATTTCAAAATAATATATATATTCAGAACAATTTAACGTATGTACAATAATTTATTCAACTCTATAGATATTATGGACATATGATAAATACTATATATGTACTTCTCTCTTTCTTGTCAAATATCCATTTAGGTCTGTTCAATTACCTTAGAATTTCAGTTGACAAGCCGAACTATCTTCTCTATTTCTATCGCACTAGTAATTCTCTGTGATTCACTTACAATTGTAGCGCGAGTTACCGTAATCGTTTGGTCTTCTTTCTTTTGAAGATCCTCTGCTCCTTTTGTCAAAGTGTACCCAGGCTGATTCAATTACTTTAGAACCATGCTTTGACGGAATGAAATTAATTTCTTGTCTTCTTTTCTACTGTTAGTTTCACTCTAACATATTAAACGTTAGGCCTGTGTAGTTAACTTCACACCAACTTTATTCTATTTTCCTATTATCTGACTGCTGCTTCCCGCTCGTTTCACGCTATTTATATCTATATTATCTAATCGTCTGTCTACCTTCTATATTCTCGACGTGAATATATTGCACGGACATTCGATATTCTCAACATCAGTGAATTATTAACAAAACTTCCTACAATCATCTGCTTTGAACTCTTATTATAACAAAAACTAAACAATAATACAAGATCACTCGCAAAACTAAATTAATCAGTACCTTTTGAAGGAAAAGTCTTTTATATCATGACAATCATCAAGTTAAGAAAGTTAGTACTAATGCAAGTTAGACATCTCTGTACTAAAGCGAGAAGACACCAAGTAAGACATGTCAGTACTAATGGAAAAAGAATACTATTTTAGGCAACTCATTGTGGAAAACAATAGTTTGTTTTCATATTTTCAGTACATAATAAGCAATTCTTGCTAATACATACCTGTGGTAGAATATGTTGTGCATGATGTACCCAAGAAGACAGTTCTTGGCTAATTAAGTCTTCCAAGCTTATTGGTTCATACTCTGAATTCTCTATAATGCGAGTTGGAACTGAAAAAACACACTAAATTTACATACGAATATTGTGGTGCCATTGACTTAATGCTGAAATATGTTTACACTTGTACACCTGAAATGTTCTTTGGATCATCATTCACTAATTTAAGTAGCCTGATGCTTTCACCTTTGTAAAAAAAAAAAAAGTGTTGTAGAGTTATTCATTTAACTTAATACTGAAATATTTTCAAAGTTGTACATCTACATATCCGTACTCTATGCATCACTTATCTAATCTTAGATTAATACTTTCACACTTTTACAACACTACTATAGTGTGAATAATGTATTGGATTTAAACACTGTAATGTTTTAACTCTTTTGCATCTGGATATCATATTGAATCATTAATTCGTTTGAAATAAATAGATCTGGTAACCCTTCAGCAACTTAATTCAAAACACATAATGTCATTCAAAACAGTTTCAATAAAACCTGTTATAATTGAACACGTAAAGAAATAGAATATTTCTTAATGTTTTGTTTGGACAATTTTAAACTTGTTCAGTTCTCTCACGTGTAATGAGTCAAGTATTACACAATCTTTGTTAACTCTTGTTCATATTTCTGTTTTATCTTAACAGAAATGGCTTGTGTAGTAAAATCTCACTATTGATTGTTCCATTAATATGTCACTTTTTATACGAAAATTTGTATAGGTATAATTAGCCTTCAAAGTAACTTAATAATAAAAATATACGTAAAACTTAATACATATAACGCAAAATTAAGAGATGACAATAGCAATTTTTAGAAGGCTGAAGTACAAACCTCTGTAGTGGAAGGAGAACAAATGATAAATACTTTTATTATATATGTTAGGCGCGATCATAGGGTTCGGCCCATCTCAGAATGGTACAGCTCTTTCTAGCGGCTACATAATCGCGCACAAACCTCGCACACAAAGTTATAAAACACTACTAGTATGATCGTTGAATCGATATTAAGATGAAGCAGGGAAATTATAATATTTCCAAACCCGATACTAATGTTCATAGTTTGTTTAACAGCACCTATCCTGTTATCCCTAACCCTTCCCAAAAAAATGGTTCTGGTTATGGACGATTTTAATTGTTAATATTACATTTATTACAAAAATATTTTTCTCAATTTGGCTGTCTTAAGATCGCGCAACCCATGAGAATATTTAGCTAACTACTCATTAAATCGCAGTAGGCTATGCAAAGTTTAATGTATTATTTTGTTGTTTTTCCTTAATCGAAAGTGTTCAAAAAAAAAGAAAATGTTTGTGTTTGTTTGCTTGTTGAATTTTGCACAAAGCTACTCTAGAGCTATGTGCGCTAGCGGTCTCTATAGCTAGTCAACACCACCCATCGCAAACTCTTGGGCTACTTTTATTCAACGAGAAGTGGGATTTACCCTCTCATTATAGCGCCCCCACAGCTAAAAGGTCGAGCATTATCGGTGAAGGGGTTCGAACAGTTGATCATGAAAGTGATAAATGTGGAGCGATAAAAAAATGGGAATGGTTGTGGCGTATATTCCATTGAAATTGCTGTTGTACTTTTGCATGAGCCAACTCAAATTATTTTCTGAAACCAAAAGTCATCTAGCACAGAGTTATGACTTGGGGAACCTTTTCCTGAAGAAGTGATATAGTGCAGTACGCACGTATGTAGGACTTCACTGAAGAGCTTTGTTGTTACTGTAGATGAACTGAAAACGGCAAGCTGATTTGGATGTGTGATGGCTGTGACCAATTGTTTCACATGGAGTGTCAAAATGTGAACAAGAGACCAAAGAGCTTGGAGATGTATATACTATTGTATCAAGTGAAAATCTTAGATCCCTGCTGAGAAACAAATAAGAATTTTATGTAATAAACAAAAAATATTTCACCATATATTTTGATTTTCATATACGTATCTGCTGAATTGTAAGATGGTAAGAAAATACATGTAAGGAATATTGTCGTGTTTCTGTTGTACAAGCTTCAAATTTTCCGGTTTCACGATTCATATTTGAAGCAATTACATAATAGTAACAAATACACTCACAGAGAAATAACGTAATCAAAGAAGCAACAATATCATTACCTCTCTTTCTTATCATTTTGTTTAAATGAAAATCGAAGTAATACATTAACCTGTGGATTGTCCATTACAGCAATGTAATTCTCTCTCTCTCTCTTTTATTATTATCATTATTATTTTGGATTAAAGAAAACTCTGCATGGTCCACTGCGAGCACGTGATTAGTCACCTAAATCTTATGGGTTGCGCGATCTTAGGATATCTGATTGAGAGCAATGTTTTTATAATCAACGCAATATTAACGGCTAAAAGCAGTCACAACCACATCATTTTGAGGGAAAAAAAGAACAAAATCCACATACTTAAACTAACTATGAACTAGAGCAACGGATTTTCAATATAATCATTTTTCTGAACCACCACGATATCGGTTCAAAGATTTGGAGATGGTCACATTAGCAATACTTTGTAACTTTATGAGCAAAATGTGTGTACGATCATTCAATCGCTGGAAATCGCAACGCCATCTGGAGATGCATGCGAAACTGGTAGAAAGCGCGGCATTATTTTGTGATCATGCAATTCAATGTTGATGTGTGTAAGGTTTTGCAATACCTGAAACGCTCAACTCCATCTCGAGGTGGTTCGAATCCTGTGATCGAGTGTAACAC